CGCAACCGCAACCGGCCGACACATTTCAAAGCGTTCGCGGGCGCGCAACCGCAACCGCAACCGGGCGACACATTTCAAAGCGCCCGCGGGAGCGCGCAACCGCAACCGCAACCGCAACCGGGCGACACATTTCAAAGCGCCCGCGGGAGCGCGCAACCGCAACCGCAGCAACCGGGCGACACATTTCAAAGCGCCCGCGGGAGCGCGCAACCGCAACCGCAACCGGGCGACACATTTCAAAGCGCCCGCGGGCGCGCAACCGCAACCGCAACCGGGCGACACATTTCAAAGCGCCCGCGGGAGCGCGCAACCGCAACCGCAACCGGGCGACACATTTCAAAGCGCCCGCGGGAGCGCGCAACCGCAACCGCAAACCGCAACCGGGCGACACATTTCAAAGCGCCCGCGGGCGCGCAACCGCAACCGCAACACACATTTCAAAGCAAGCGCAACCGCAAACCGCAACCGCAACCGGGCGACACATTTCAAAGCGCCCGCGGGAGCGCGCAACCGCAACCGCAACCGCGGCGACACATTTCAAAGCGCCCGCGGGCGCGCAACCGCAACCGCAACCGGGCGACACATTTCAAAGCGCCCGCGGGAGCGCGCAACCGCAACCGCAACCGCAACCGGGCGACACATTTCAAAGCGCCCGCGGGCGCAACCGCAACCGCGACCGGGCGACAAATTTCAACCCGCCCGCGGGAGGGCGCAACCGCAACCGCAACCGCAACCGGGCGACACATTTCAAAGCGCCCGCGGGCGCAACCGCAACCGCAAGCGGCGACACATTTCACCCCGCCCGCGGGAGGGCGCAACAGCAACCGCAACCGCAACCGGGCGACACATTTCGACCCGCCCGCGGGAGGGCGCAACCGCAACCGCAACCGGGCGACACATTTCAAAGCGCCCGCGGGAGGGTGCACCCGCAGGGTTTCAAGGGGGTCGATTGCGCGTGCACTTGTGCGTAAGCTGCCCGCGGAAGGTGGCGCGTAGGCGCCTTAATGCGGTCTGCCGCGCGAGCTGCTTGCGTGATCCACCGCGCAAGGTCGTCGCGCAATCGAGTGCAACCCCCCTTCTGATCGTTTCTCCCGGGGGGGTTCAGGCGAGTGGAATTGCCTCAGCCACATCTCGGCCACGCTCGTGGGACTGCCCCCCGCAGAGTTTCAAGGGGGTCGATTGCGCGGGCACTCGCGCGCATGCCGCCCTCGTAAGGTCGCGCGTAGGCGCTGTTACGGTGACGCGGTCTGCCGCGCAAGCAGCCTGCGTGAGCCACCGCGCAAGGTCGTCGCGCAATCGAGTGCAATCCCCCTTCTGATCGTTTCTCCCGGGGGGGTTCAGGCGAGTGGAATTGCCTCAGCCACATCTCGGCCACGCTCGTGGGACTGCCCCCCGCAGGGTTTCAAGGGGGTCGATTGCGCGGGCACTCGCGCGCATGCCGCCCTCGTAAGGTCGCGCGTAGGCGCTGTTACGGTGACGCGGTCTGCCGCGCGAGCGGCCTGCGTGAGCCACCGCGCAAGGTCGTCGCGCATTCGAGTGCAACCCCTCTTCTGATCGTTTCTCCCGGGGGGGTTCAGGCGAGTGGAATTGCCTCAGCCACATCTCGGCCACGCTCGTGGGACTGCCCCCCGCAGTGTTTCAAGGGGGTCGATTGCGCGGGCACTCGAGCGCATGCCGCCCTCGTAAGGTCGCGCGTAGGCGCTGTTACGGTGACGCGGTCTGCCGCGCGAGCGGCCTGCGTGAGCCACCGCGCAAGGTCGTCGCGCATTCGAGTGCAACCCCCCTTCTGATCGTTTCTCCCGGGGGGGTTCAGGCGAGTGGAGTTGCCTCAGCCACATTTCCGCCACGCTCGTGGGACTGCCCCCCGCAGAGTTTCAAGGGGGTCGATTGCGCGGGCACTCGCGCGCATGCCGCCCTCGTAAGGTCACGCGTAGGCGCTGTTACGGTGACGCGGTCTGCCGGCGCGAGCGGCCGGCGTGAGCCACCGCGCAAGGTCGTCGCGCCGGCAGAGGACAATGAGGAGGAGGAGACGGATGCCGAGGAGGAGGAGGAGGAGGAGGAGGAGGAGGAGGAGGAGGAGGAGGAGGACAATGAGGGGGTGGAAATGGATGCCGAGGAGGAGGGGGACGACGACGACGACGACGACGACGACGACGACAACCAGGACGACGACGACGACGAGGGCGAGGAGGAAGACTGAGCAACAGCAGGGGGATGGGCTGGGGGGGAGCAGGGGGCGGGGGACGACAAGGAGAAGAAGGAGGAGCCACTGGCGGAGGGCCCGACGAGGACCCCCCGCGTGGCCCGCGGTTCTCCGCCGGGACACTGCAGCGGGGAATCCCTATTCCACGCTGCTGCTTTTGATTGTGCGAATTTATTTCTGTGTGTCCTGGGGCCCCATTCCCAGACCCCCGACGTCATGATTTTTTCATGACGCGGCCCCCAGAGGTCCAGACCCATTCCCCAGGACCGGCTTTTCATCCTGAGTCGTTTTTTGACGGTCCTGAGGGCCGGTAAGGGCCCCCAGAGGCCGAAAATAGCGAAAAACCTCTCGTCGTGATTTTTTCATGACTCGAGGGGGTCTGGGTTCACGCCCCAGGCAAGGGGGCCCAGCGCCGATCCCAGAAGTGCGCGCGGACCTCCGGAAGCTCCTGCTCACGCAGGCCGCCGGGGGTCCCCCCACGGGGCAGCAGGAGAGGCCGTGCCCGGGGGCCCCGCGGGGCCTCCGGGGCTCCTGCTCGGCCCTCGTCGCCACGGCTGGAGCGGCCTCGGGAGAGGCCCGTCGCGGCACTCGTGTGCACAATCTCAGCGTGCGGCGCCGTGAGCAGAGCGCAGGCCTTTCCAAGAAGTCACGGCTGGAGTTCCTGCGGGGTGTTTCTCGAGCTGGATCGATGCGCGAGGGTCCTGGGGCATGAAGAGAAACGAACACATGGATTTTGAGTTCTATCACGGCGCCCAGACGTAGTTAGGTGCGGGGGAGGAGGAAGGAGGAAGGGGATGCCATTTACAAACGTTCTCTGGTGCAGAGCCCTCCTATAGGGAGGCCGATCTGGATGCACCCCCGGGCTCGTGGAGCCCCGTGCTGGGCGAACCACGTCGCCATCGCGCGTTAGGGAAAGATTCTTTACTTCAGGCTGCCTCCTCGTCGTGCCTCCGGGGGCTGCTGAAGCAGTCTGCGGCGGCCAGATGCCGCCGCCATGCCCATGGCCTGTCCACCGACAAAAACTCGGGAGGAGAGGCCGGTCGTCCTGGGGGGTGGTCCGAGCGGCCTGGGGGCCAGCAGCGCGGAAGCACCGCGTCATTGTGGTTGGGTCCTCCCTTCCACATGCGAAGAAAAACACATAAACATAAACTTTCGACGGCCCGCGCGGATTGCTCGGATTTCCCCAAGAGATGACAATATTTTTCCCCGACCTGGCGGAGGGGTTCCCGTGTAGTACTCCCTTGGGGGGGTCTGGGGGGGGACCCCCGGGGACAGTGCCCCAGCCACGCGCGGAACGCCGGCGGAAGTCCGCAGAAGACGGCCGTATTTCTGCAGACGCGCTTCCGGGAGGCACGGGCGGCTCCAAGAGGGTCCGCAAGATGACCCAAGAGGGCTACGAGTCGCCGAGAGCTCGGTCCAAGACGCCCAAGATGGGCCCAAGACGGCCCAAGAGGCCGCCAAGGCCCCTCAAGAGACCTCCAAGGAGCCGCCCAAGAGAGCCCCACAAGGTGAACATCGTAATTTTTACGAAGGTTTCTGAAGGATTTTGGACTTCGCGCCTTTTCGGCTTTCCGACACTCCAAGACGGCCCAAGAAGCCTCCAAGATTGTCCCAAGACGGCCGAAGAGGCCCCCAAGAGTGCAACTCACAGCCCAGAGCCTGCCTCTTCAGAGCCTACTTGCGACAGATGGCCCCTAGAGGCCTAGCGTGATATATATATATATATATATATATATATATATATATATATATATATATGTATATATATACATACATATATATATATATATGCTTCAGGCTCCAAAGGAGCCTCGTGTATGTTAGCCAAGCGTTTCCCGGCGAATCGGGCCTCCCAAGACTCCAGGTTTCAGCAAGCCTTGCTCAGTAGGCCCTCCGTTTCCCTAGCAACAAGTTGCAACATATATTATAACACAACAGGTTCAACCGAAACCGTTCTGGCTCAAGACCTTGCAGCGTCACGGCGACGCTGGATTTCTGGTGTGCGTCCAAGAGACGCAGAGCAGCGAACTGCCCGCAAACTATCAGATCCTGTTTCCCACCATAGTGTGATCAGCATCGCACCGCCCTTGCCCCATCGAATACAACCAGTATTGAGACGAGCCCAACACTTCCCATATTGATATCAACACATTGTCGGAGAAGAGAAGAAAGTAACATCTATTCAGGATTGCTATCAGGGCAGTGGTCAGAAGCGGGACCATTGCATGGTAGCGGAGCATCAAGCTCCACGGACGACAGATTCACGGACATCGAGTTTCATCGTGTGAGCCATGACTAAGAACAACGACGCCGATGACATTATACCTAAGTGGAATGGAGATCTCACCACGGTGGATGATTATGAGAGGGACGTCAAGGCCTACATCCGAGGGACGAGGCGAGATGGGAGATATGTGTGCGGCCAACGTCTATGGAGACGACTAGAAGGTCGAGCCCGACAAGCAGCTAAGGACGTAGACTGGGACCGCATCGAGAAAGACGACGGAGCCGCCGAGCTATTACGACATGTCCGAGCGAAGCTCGGAGCTCAGCCCATCCAGGATGCAGGCAAGTATTTAGCGAGATGGATCTTCGACTTTCGCCGAGACACAGGAGAGCCGATGCCGAGTTATATCAGCAGAGACGACGAGGCCTACCATGACGTTGTGAAAGGGTTTGACACCGAGTATTTCAAGAAACAGCGTACGGCCCGACTCTCCGAGAGATCAAAGTTGTGGAACATCCTCTATAGTGAGCTGAAGTGCTTTGTTACAAGACCGAGCACGAGGGCCCAGAGGATGCGGCCGAAGTGGCGAAGCGGCTCCAGAGTTTTGTCAGCTACGGCCTGGAGGAGATCCCCGAGCATCCACATTTCGGTACCGACTTCAATCAGGCGATTCCTCTGGACCAACTGCGCGGATGGCTACTGCTGCAGAGATCAAGACTGTCCCCGACCGAGCGTGCAGCAGTGATCAGCGCAGTCAAAGGCAACTTCGACTACGATAGCATCGGAGAGCAGCTACGAGTGTCTTGGCCCGACGATGAGTTGACGAATCGCGACAAGAAGACAGGCAAGGACAACCATCGTCATCGAGAGCGAGGTCGAATCCACGCCGGCTGGGAGGATAACAGCGAGGACGACGACGCCTATAGCTACTATGACGGAGAGCAGTCGGAGGTCTCCTACGAGGATGGCGACGGCGACGAGGACGAAGGAGATCCCGAGGAGCCGCTGTACAGTGCCCAGGAGATCGAGGACGCCGAGACCGCGTTCGCCGCCCAGCAGCGCAGCTTCAAGGAAGCCCGAGACCTCCTTCGACGAGTCAAGACAGCAAGGAAGTTCTACCCCGTGGATGAGAATAAGAAGCGAGAAGGTCGCGGAGGACAGCGCAAGTTTCAAGGGCCCCGGGCTGGGCCCCGAGGCTATGGCTCATCGAGCAAAGGACGAGGCCGAGGGGGCGGACAGCGACGTGACGGACCTCCTCGACGAGATGGAGATCGCTCCCAAGGTCGGCTGCCCCGAAAGGGGCCATGTCTGAAGTGCGGAGGCAATCGCGAGACGACGGATCATCGGGATAGCACTTCGTCGGCCGGCAGCAATGGAGATCGTGAACGCCCAAAGCGAGGTTTTGGAGCTTTCGTCTTCTTCGGCGCCGAGCAGGATGCCGAGATGGAGGCCGACCTCATTACGAACGAGACGACCCGCATCGAGCTGGAGACTGCGATGCCCCCCAAGCCGGCGATCGAGAACAAGCCGAAGCGGGGGAAGAGGCAGCTCGACAAGACCCAGCATCTTCAGGTGGAGAAGTCCATCGAGATGCGAGAGCGAGTTGAGCACGTCAAGCTGCCGAGCTGGCCTACACTGGAGAAGCTCGACGACTGGGTCCTCATGAGTGTGAAGCAGAGCTCCTCCAAGGGTTTCGGAATCCTGGACGCTGGCGCGACCTCCAGCATCATGGGCATAGAGGCCGCCGAGAACCTACGCGACATCATTTTCGAGCAGACGGGCCAGAACATCAAGATGGACGTTAGCCAGAAGAGTGCGTTTATATTTGGCGATGGCAACTCCAAGACCTGCACCGGCAAGGCTACCTTCCCTCTCAAGATCGCTGGTGTGGACGGCGAGCTCGAGATTAACATCCTCGACGCAGATGCCCCGCTCTTGATCGGAGTGGATGTTCTGCGCCGCCTGGGAGCTGTGATCGACTGCGAGGCACATTGCGTTTACTTCAGGAAGCTCGGACGTCGAGCTGAGCTGCTCGTCCTTCCGAGCGGCCACCTTGCACTGCCACTGGTTCAGCAAGCCGATTTTGGCTTCGTGGCGCCCCTCGAGTAGTGACCCCCGAGACTGCTACGGTGCCGGAGGGAAAACGTGAGAATGAGCAGCCGATCGGAAGCAATATTGACGAACCACTTGTATCTGTGCCCCATAAGGTCTCGACGAGGCCCCAGATCATGGAGCCCTGCATCATTACCTACGCCTACGGGGACACCATCATCCTTTACGCTTACAGGGATATCACCATTACCTACGCCTACGGGGACATCATCAATAACAACGCCTGGGACATCATCTGCATCAGCCCCTGCGGCCTCAGCTATGACATCATCAGGGTCACCCTCGGAGGCTTTCCCGAGGATCCCCGAGTTCCCAGCGCTCCAAACGGAAACGCCACCGTTCTCCAGAGCCATTTGGGCTGCGAACGATCTGAGCTCAGAGCTCCGATTTCGGCAACCAGATTGCCTTCCATATTCGCATGGGCCTCAACCGCGAGACGAAATGCCGCAAAGCAGAGAGCTAGCAAGTGAAGCTGGAGAACGAGGAGATGGGCGGCCCCAGGGAGCAGGTGGACGTTCGAGTGCCTCTGGAGGACTCGGGAGCATCGGCGACGGGCCGCTCACCGACGTCGACGAGGTCTACGCTACAACGGATATTGCCGCAGAGGTGATTGATCGCTCACCAGGACACGAAGGGCAACATCTTCTACACGGTCGAGGGCTCGGAGCTGGACCGCAGCAAGAAGCGGATGACGGACATCTTCCTGCTGGAGCATCTGCCGAATTGGGAGATGTGGTCCAGCAAGCTCCTCCGGCAGTGGACACAGCGCCGCCGCTGGGGGCGGGTCATCCAGAAGGTCTTTCTCAAGACGATCGACCACGTGAACTGGAAGCTGGACAGTCTCGGCCTACCTGTGCAGCTGCTACCAGAGAAGTACCCGACCTGGCCGACGGACCTCGAGCACCGTGCGAAGATCGAGCAGTGTCCGCCGAGCTCGAAGGCAAAGCAACGTCCCCAGAAGTCGACAGCCGCGGCCGCGCGCGAGCAGAATCAAGGGCTGCGGGCCACCATCGAGACCGCAAAGTCCGATTTCTTGACCAGGTTTGCGGAGGTGAGTGCGTTTGCAGCGCTGAGCTCAGAGCAGATCCACGAGCAGCTTAGCATGGTCACGCTGGGCAACCACCTCAGGCCCCTGTGCAAGATGTGGGGATTGACCCAGTCGGGCAAGAAGGTGGAGGTGGTCGACAATATCATAGCGTACATCATCGAGCAGCGCGGCTCGGCGGCAGCGACGATCAAAATCAAGATGGAGACCGAGACGAAGAAGACGGAGAAGGCGCCTACGACCGTAGGCCCGGCGATTCCAGCTCACTACACGCAGATGTGCCAGCGCCCGGACTGCAAACTATGCCGAGGCATCGCGAAGAACGAGCCGATCGTGAAGGCGAAGCCCTACGGGTGGTGCCACCAGGCATGCGCTGCCAGGACGAGGGCCTCAGTGAGGTTCAGGTTGAGAGGTCGCGCTGGCACAGTGACGAGAGCCGGCCACTGAAAGGTCATCAGCGCCAGGCCATCCGTGCCGCGACTCACATGACGAGATCAGCCATCTTCGGAGCTATGTGCGCCCTCACGACCTTCGGCCGCTTGGCGATGGTCGAAGCGCGCGCCCACGAGGACTCGAACCATGGTAAGGTGTGCGACGAGAAGGGCTACCACTATGAGCGTCTCGGTCTGTTCAACGAGAATGACTTCAGCAAGCCGCAGGGTTACCACAAGGCGAAGTTCCTGCTGGATGAGGAGCGCCCAGAGCTCTTTGTCAGCACTCCACCCTGCGGGCCCTGGTCGATAATGCAGAACGTCAACCAGCGCGACGACAGGCAGAGGGAGAACCTTCGCAGGAAGCGCCTCAAGAGCCAGCGGATCTTCGAGAACAACAAGAGGCTCATAGAGCATCATGTGCTCAACCTGAACGGCTCTGCCCTCGCCGAGCAGCCACGCAACAGTATGTCGTGGCAAAAGACCTGCTGGAAGGACCTCCACAAGATACTCCCCTACGAGGTGATCGTGGACGGCTGCGCCTGCGGACTGGGAGCTCCCGACACAGGCGAGCTCATGAAGAAGCGCTGGAAGTTTCTCACTAACGACAAGAGGATCTGGGTGGCCCTACAGCCGCTACAATGCCGTGGAGGACACTACCACGAGGAGATTGAGAGCAGCCTGAGGACTGAGGCTTCGGGCTACTACCCCAAGATGCTGTGCCGCCGGATCCTCCGGGCTCTGACAAAGAGCCAGAACCATAATTACTTCGAGGACGAGGTTGTGAAGTGCCTTTGCATGGCAGCTACCCAGCAAACACCGACGGAGCCCACGCTTGTGGAGGATGGTCCGTCGATTCCACCTCAAGACGGCAAGGAGACTCACGACCTCACCAAAGAGACGATCAAGAATATCGAGAGCTACATCAGGCTGGTACACACCAACCTTGAACATCTACCCCGAGCTCATCTACTACGATACCTTCGCGACCGTGGTGCTCGCCCAGAGGTGCTACGACTGGCCAGGAAATTCAAGTGCGACATCTGCGACGCGCACCGACCACCGACAAAGCAGCCACCAGCCTCATCAGCAGAGCAGCCACAGAACGGTCACGAGGTTCTCTTCGACGCCTTCTCATGGATCCGTCGCAGCAAGAAGACGAACGTGATGGCGCTGGCGATCCTCGACGCCGGCTCAGACATCCTCTACGTGCGACTGATCGACGAGAAGGAGATCCCGGGTACGACTCGACAACTTCGCGCTGGCGACCTTCGACATATTTTTGCGACAATGTGGTTTCCTTGGATGGGGCGCCCGAAGGTCATGCGCTACGATCCCGCTGGCAGCGCCATCTCCAACGAGTTCCGCGAGTGGATCGAGGGCCAGGGAGTCTACTGTCCTCCATGCGCGGCCGACGCCCACTGGCAGATCGGCAAGATTGAGCGCGCGATCGAAGCTTTCAAGGAGGCCCTCGACGCTTTCGGCGAGATGGTCTCAGCTGAAGTGCCTACCAGCGAGATGATTGGACTCCAGACAGCTGCCAGGAACGGCCTGATCAGGATTGACGGATTCAGCCCACTGCAGCGCGATGCCGGACGGACCCCGGCGGGGACCACGGTTAATTTGTCCGACGAGCCGAACAACCTGCCCCTCATCAGCGCCGAGCTGCAGGATGGCACCTTCAGCAGGGGCGCCCAAGTTCGACGCCTGGCGCGGCTGGCTCACCTCCAGACCGAGAACTCCAACCGAGTCAAACGGGCGGGGGCCGCGCGCTTCAGGCCCTTCAAAAGGTACGAGACGGGCGACCTGGTCTTCGTCTACAGGAGGCTCCCACCAGGAGCCTGGATCAAGAAGGGCCAACCTCGCTCCATGCCTGGGCGAGGCCGCTGGTACGGACCTGGACGAGTACTCTGCCACGAGCCATCGAGCTCGGGACATCGACCTGGTCTACCTGGGGCAGCGGTCAACATCACACTGGCTGGACGCCTCTATCGAGTTGCCCCCGAACAGCTTCGACCTGCTACGCCCTCCGAAGAGGCGGTGGACTCTCTGCGCTCGCGTCGCGAGCAGCCGGGGACATGGGCCTTCGGCGACGTCCAGAAGCTGCTCGACCAGAACGAGGCGATCGACCTTTCGAACGAGTCGCCGCCTACTGGCGAGGACCTGGCCGCTGACGACGGCGAGTCTGTCAGCGCTCGCACCTTCGAGGGCAACGCGAGCGGACCCTGGGCCATTCCTGCAGACGAGGAGCTACCCGTGCCACGAGGAGATCCCTGGAGTTTGGGCCCAGGAGGAGGAGGCGGCGGAGGTGGTGGAGCCATCGAGGCGCCCCCAGAGGCGGCCGAGGTCCAAGACCCTCTCATACAGCCAGTACAGCCAGAAGCACCACCAGGCATTCCACAAGAGGAAGGCCACGAAGCTGGACACCAAGAGGAAGCCGAGCTACCTGCAGAAGAAGAGATCGTCATCCGACGACGACCAAGCAGAGCGTCCGTCTCAGCAACCCATTGCGGTGGACACGGACGACGACCTCGACGAGACTACGGCGCCTGACATGAACGACAAGCGCCGGCTGCGGTCGCCTGGCTCGACCGAGCCACCTGCCAAGAAGCAGCGGATCAACGTCGCGACCCAGGAGGCCTTCTCCCACTACCTGCAGGAAGGCAACTTCTACGGGGACCACGCCTACAGCGTCCAGCAGTACGACGAGACGAAGGAGGACGACGAGCTCATCGTGCTGGACATCCCCGTCAGCAACGAACACGCGTGCATGGCCTACATGGACAATCCTAGCAATTTCGTGGCATCAAAGGCCCGGAAGGGCCGAGTGGAGGTTTCTTTCAAAAGGCGACGCCTGAGGAAAAGAAGCTGCTACTTGAGGCCCAACAGAAGGAGTGCACCTCGGTCCTCGGCACGAAGGCTGTCAGGATCCTCAGCCGCAAAGGGGATCGACCCGGCGCGCCTACTGCGCTGCCGTTTCGTGCTGACCTGGAAGAAGGACGAGCAGGGCAACGTGCTCCGAGGCAAGGCCAGATTGGTCGTGCTTGGCTTCAGCGACCCCGATCTACTACATCTACGGACAGAGTCACCAGTTGCCTCAAGACGTGCACGACAACTTCTACTGGCCATGGCAGCAAGACACAAGTGGAAGCTGGAGAAGGCAGACGCAGTGACAGCCTCCCTCCAGGGCGAGACTGACGAGGAGGAGAGGAAGATCTACGCCGACCCGCCGAAAGATGTTCGTCAGGCATTCGGCATGAAAGATGACGATGTACTGCAGTTCCCCAAGCCTATGTATGGGTTTGCACATGCTCCTCGCAAGTGGTGGCTCCATTTCAAGGACACGCTCAGGACGCTGAAGCTGGAGATCGTGCAGTGCGAACCTTGCGTCTGGGTCATCCGAGACGGTAACAAGATGGTTGGCATGGCCATCCTACATGTCGACGATATGATGATTGCCGGCGATCACAACAACTCGGCCTTTCTCAAGAAGCGCCAGGCGATTCAACAAGCGTTCGAATGGACACCCTGGGAGAGCCGAGCGTTCGTGCAGCGTGGCATCAGCATTCGACAGAACGAGGATTATACCTGCAGCCTCGCACAGGACAGCTACAGCCTGAACGTGGAGCCCATCAAGATACGACGTGGGAGGAAACCCACAGAAGGAGTTTCAGACGAGGAGAGATCAGATCTACGAGGCCGACTTGGTACAGTCGGATGGCGAGCTCAGCAGTCGGTCCCGTGGCTCAGCGCAGAAGTTTTTTCTACTTCAAGCGGAGATACCTACGGCCACGGTCTCAACCACCCAGAAGATCAACAAGCTTATCCGCGCCATGAATGACACCGCCGACGTAGTCATTCTCATCCCGGCCATTGAGCAGATTGCCGTGGTTGGCTGGGGCGATGCAGCATGGGCCGCCCGTATCACCGGCGAGTCCCAAGGCGGAGAAATCGTTGTTCTGGCCCCCCTGTCCTTCCTGAGTGGCTCGACAGAGACGGTTGCGCCTATCTCTTGGAGATCATGCAAGCTACCCAGAGTGGCCAGAAGCAGTGCGAGTGCGGAGGTCCAGATGATGACTGAGACCCTGGACGAGATCAGTTACGTGCGACTATTCATCTACGAGCTGGAGTGCGGTCAAGTGGACTACACCAACAAGCAGCACGTGAACGACGCCATCTCATCCTGCCCTGGCGTACTTGTCACAGACGGTAAGTCGGGCTACGGCGCGATCGAGAAGAGTGAGTCAGCTGGTCTCGGACTGCGTGACAAGCGGACGAGCATCGAGTGCTTGGGCATTCGACAGCAGAAGGAGCAGACGGCCCTCCAGATACGCTGGGTACACAGGGACGCCATGTTGGCCGACGGACTGACCAAGGATCGTGCCGCCAAGGTCTTGCTGGAGTTCTTCAGATCAGGCCAACGCTGGAGACTCGTGGACGACCCACTTCACCGCAGTGCCCGGAAGCGCAAGACCGAGGGCTTGGACAAGCTCGACCATGGCAAGCCGGTCTCGGACGATGACGAGGACGCTATGCTGGAGGCCCTGATCTACTACGCCCGCGACAACCCCGACGAGCAGGAGAGCCCTGCTGGAGATGCTGCCCTGTGGGGCATGATTAAGCCGCTCACGCGCTCTGTGCTTTCTGTGAATTCAGTTGCCAGAGGCAGGTCTCGATGCCGTAACGTCGATCTTTAGCTTTTGGGCATGCAATTCACAGCCCAGAGCCTACCTGCGACAGATGGCCCCTAGAGGCCTAGCGTGATAAATATGCTTCAGGCTCCAAAGGAGCCTCGCGTATGTTAGCCAAGCGTTTCCCGGCGAATCGGGCCTCCCAAGACTCCAGGTTTCAGCAAGCCTTGCTCAGTAGGCCCTCCGTTTCCCTAGCAACAAGTTGCAACATATATTATCAACAGAGCAGGTTCAACCGAAACCGTTCTGGCTCAAGACCTTGCAGCGTCACAGCGACGCTGCATTTCTGGTGTGCGTCCAAGAGACGCAGAGCAGCGAACTGCCCGCAAACTATCAGATCCTGTTCCCCACCATAGTGCGATCAGCATCGCACCGCCACTGCCCCATCGAATACAACCAGTAGTGAGACGAGCCCAACACTTCCCATATTGGTATCAACACATTGTCAGAGAAGAGAAGAGAGTAGCATCTATTCAGGATTGCTATCAGGGCAGTGGTCAGAAGCGGGACCATTGCAAAGAGGGCCCCAAGGCGGTCCAAGAGGGCCCCAAGACGGCCCAAGAAGCGCCCAAGACGGTCCAAGAGGGCCCCAAGACAGCGCCAAGAGGGGCCCAAGAGCGGCACCAGGAACCGAAAATTCGAGCCTTCTGCGTCAAGAGAGCCCCAGGATGCCCCAAGAGGCCCCCAAGAGGCCCCAAGAAGCGCCCAAGAGGCCCCCAAGAGGCCCCAATAGGCGTCCAACAAAACCAAATGATACCCCAAAACTACCCCAAGAGGCTTCAAAACAGTCTCCCAGAAGCCCCCGAGAGACCAACCACGATTATACATATTTCTTCGTCGGACGTCTTCCCCGTCGTCTAATCAAGCCCACAACAGGCCACTCCTTCCTTGTCCCTGCCGCTCTCACCAATCATCCCCACCTCCATTTTCAGGTCGGGGTTCGTGGCAATATCAGGTTGGGTTCGTGGTTTCCGAAGTCGGCCACGTGTTGAGTCGATCGAAAAACAATAAAACGCCACAAGCACAAACGTTTGGCGCTCCGCGCGGACTTCTTGGATGCGCGCTGGGCCCCCCCGTGCGGCGCCTCCGGCACCGCCCCTGGCGCGCTCTGCGCGCCGGGGAGGGGGGCCCGGCGCAGATCCAAGAAATCCGCGCGGAGCGCCAAAATATTGATTATGTTTCACTATGCCTCTATACACCTTCTGTTTATGCCAAAAGACTAATTATGTTTGTGCCTTCTTTCTTCCTCTATACATCCCGGGCGTGTTTTGGGAGTGGTCGTCGGTGCTGGGACTTTCGTGCGGCTCCTGCGCCGCTGCTGCGGCCAGGTGCGGTTTCAGAAGATGCAGGGTGGTGCAGATGCTGCTGGGTGGGGTCCGGGGGTTGAAGGTTCGCATTTTGTTTGTCTCAGGGTCTCAGAAACTTTGGCGTCGGCGGCGGGGCAGAGCAACTGCGCTGGCGGAAGAGCGAACTGACTGGCGGCACCGCTGTAGCGAATTGTGCCAGCATGCAGGAGGGAGGGAAAGAGGCAGAGGGTCTCAGAAGCAGGGATTTTGACAAACGAGGACATTGGCACCGCTGAGAAGCAGCTGCAGCCGTGGTGGGTCGGACCATCCTCCAGTCTCCGTTCTCTCTAGCTCGAAGTTTCAGAGCTCTGGCTCACGGGGTCCTAGGCCGACCATCGTCGGAGCACTGACATTCAGACGTCTTGGAGGAATCACTGCGGGCATTGTTGCTCCGTTCCAGTCCCCATGACCCTCACGGATCGACCTGGCTCGAGACATTCCTTTGCAAATGACCGTGCGAATATTTTTGGTCGTCTCGTATCAGACAGCGTGATCATTCCACGACGCCAGATGTCGGGCCTTCTTTTCTGACTCAGGCTCAGTCTATCCTCATTTTTTCACTCCTCCTGGTCCTCTGTTCTCCTCCCGCAAATTTCACTCTTTCACAGCCCCCCTCGTCTCACACGGACGTAATTGGATTGAATATTTCCTGGTTTGACAGGCGCTGCAAGCGGAAGTGTCTCGCAATGATTTTGATTTTTTATTGATTCGAGGTGTCTCGTTTAAAGATTGGGTGGGACTCGGGGCGGTGAGGAGAGGAGGGAGAGAAGGTGGAGGAGGATTTTTGCAGCTGGTGCACCCCTGTGCACGCTGCCGACATCATTGCGCGTATCAGTTAGCAGCAGGCTTGCGCTGAAGGCACGAGCCCCGTTTCTTGTCCACGAGTGCGCCATGGCGATTCTCCCGCTGCCATTGGTCCAAGTGCCACGAGTCGCTCCATGATGTTACTGGGTTCCGATTGGTCGCACGTACTCGGGATATTTTTGCATGAACGTAGCAGGCTTGTGCGGTGGCCTTCCTCTGGATGAGTCTCTGCTGACAGAGCGACGTGCCACGTGCCTGTGACAAAAGGCTTAAGACGCATGGTCGGTCACAAGAGTTGCAAGGACATGTGCCGGCACGAGGAGGAGCAGGGCAGAAGTCGACTAGACGTAAGAGTGATCTTTCGCCGGAGTGACCTTTGGTGCGGGCCCGGTGGGGCCCCCCGATCACCGATTGCGATGCGATAGTAGCGTCTCGCGCGCCTGAGTTTGGTCCCCCCCGCGGCCCCCCAAAAGCCGCGCACCAAAGGTCACTCTTACCCAGGGTCACTCTTGCGTGTAGCCGAAGAAGGCAGGGAGGTGGGATGAGCAAAAAAACGCGCAGGAGGGAGGGGGGAAGGAGGACGAGGAGGAGGAGCAGGGCGGAGGGGGCTAATAGATGCGGAGCAGGGGGTGGGGGCGCCCGTGCATCGAACTCCTTGGCCGCTCCCACGGCTCGGCGTACGGCTGGCACGACGACGAATAGCAGCCGGAGCTTTGGAGGATTACCCTGGCGTTCTTTGTGCGCGGGCCCTCCGCCCCGGAAAGTTCTCAGCTCAGCTGGCTCAGTACACCCTAGGCGATGCTGAAGAAATCCAAAGTTTCCGGCCAGAGTCTCGATTATTCTTAACGTTTCAATGTAAATCTTAAGATTGTGATGGAAATGTTGGGTTTTAATTCAAGTTCTGAGACTATGAATTTCTTAACCCATGATTTCTTAAGCATTTCGCAGGGTGTACGCCCGTCTTGGAACGCAGCGCGTGCCGTGCTCAAAGCGTCCGTGCCAATGCGTCGCGTGTTGGCTCAGCGCGTTGGCACAGGGCTTGGCGAGGCGTAGCGCGTCATCCCTACCTGGGTTGCCTTCGAGGATCGAAGGAGTCGTCATCTCTTCCTCGGCGGAGGGCGGCGGAAGGTCGGCGGAAGGCGGCCAAAGAAGAGCGAGGCCGCCTCCGCCGGCGGAAGGTCGGCGGAAGGCGGCGGAAGCAAAAGGTATGCCCCCAAGAGATGATCATATTTTTGGTTCGTGGTTTCCGAAGTCGGCCACGTGTTCAGCCTACCGAAGAACAACGATCGGCGACGTCGGCGATGCATCGCCGACTTCGGCGTCGGGCAGATCGGGCTGCACATCGAGCCGCATCGGCGACGCATCGGCTATGCGGCGCGATCCTTCGACCCCATCTACGCGGACCCCATCTATGAGGTCTCTAGGTCTGAAAGAGAGAGATCGCAACTGCCCAGGAAAGCTGGCGTTCCGGCTGAGCTGCCCCACCGACTTGAGCACGAACCAGCCCGTGACATCAGCCCGGCCAGGTCCGAGCGATGCTTGCTACATCCCGGTAGCCCTGGGGCTCTGAAGGAGACACGGCGCCTTTTTCAAAACACTAGCAATTCTGGGGCGTACGTGTCGAACCCTCTCATTTGGGAATCGCGAGTGCGATGTTTTGTTGCATTGCATCGTTGAGGTCATGGGGTTTTGAAAAGACACACCTCAGTATCCTAGCATTGGCGTTCTACCAGATAAATCCCACCACCCTCGTCGCCTTTCCCCCCCTCGTGGGAGGCCCGAGCGCGATGCTTGCTACATCGCTGTGGCCATGGGCCTCTCGAAAGAGACACCGCGGATGTCCAAAGCGAGCGGTCCATGTTGGAGGTGCGGCCAATCTGGGCGTGAACGGTCCTGTGACTCCAGCTTGGTCGGTTCCTGTTTAGCCCCGAGCGCGACGCCTGCTGCAACGCTGAGGTCATGGGGCTTTGGGAGGAAGCCCGTGAGCTTCTGCGAATAGGTGTTCTTCTTGACAGGTTCCACCAATCTTGGCGCGAACGGTCCCGTGATTCCAGCCTGGTCCGCTCCTGAGCGCGATGCCGGCTGCATCGCTGAGTCATGTGGCTATGCAAGGAAACGCGTGAATTTCTGCAACTAGGTGTTCTTCTTGACAGGTCCCACCAATCTGTGTGCGAACGATCCCGTGATTCCAGCCTGGTCGGCTCCTTTTGGCCCCGAGCGCGTGCGATGCCTGCTGCATCGTTGAGGTAATTTGCCTGTGAAATGAAACACGCTTTGTGTCCCCAACTCGGTGTTCGTCCTGAAAAGTCCAATCAATTTGGCCGCGAATTGTTCTGGGATGCCAGCCTGTTCGGCTCCCCATTGGGATGCCCGGATGCGATGTCGACAATGCCGCGCTATCAAGGTTGAGTTGGGCAAGGCGGGTAAGCTTTAGTGGGTGTTAGTATGAGTACGGGTGGGTCAGAGCGGAGTTGTCACGAATGACAAGGACGCCACATCGAATGGCCTTCGGCCCATCCCGCCACCGTGCCTGGGTTGTGTGTTGAGGCCGCTTGAATGTTCGTTCGGATTTCATCGAGGCCTCTCGGGGGCCTCCTGGAGTCAGTTTTGAAGCCTCTGGGGGGCTGGGCTTCTCCGCGTTTGAGCTCTATTGAGTGTTTGTTGCGGTTTCTGGGGGGACCTCCGGGGACGCCTCTTGGGGGCATCGTGGGGGCCGTTTAGAGGCCTGTTCGGGCGTCTTCTGGGCCTCCTTGGGGATTTTCTAGGCCTCTTGCGGGCCTCTTGGGGGCCTGCTGGCGATCTCGGGGGGCCCATGATGGGGCGGAGGGCTCGAGGTCTCAGTTCGAAATCCTCATATGAGCATTCTTTGGGTCCTCTTGGGGCCCTCGTGGTCCGTCTTGGGGTGATCTCGGGGGCCTCCCGTGCGTCCTTGGACGCTATGGAAGCCCAGGGCGCGAATATGCTGAACAGTTCGGTTTCCGAGGGGAGTGCAACGATGTTTTGCTCTTGAGGCCCTCTTGGGGGTGCTCTTGGGGTTCTCTTGCGGCGTCTTTGAGCCACCTTGGTCCGTCCTGAATCTGTCACAGACCGCTCTGGGGCCCTCTTTGGCCAACGGAGGCGGTTCTCGAGGCACTCTCGAGGGTTCCAGAGGTCGTCTTGCGCGTTGGCTGAGTAGCCCGCAAGAGTTCCTGGAAGCTCCCAGGAGCTCGTGGAAAACCAGGGCTCCAGGCGCGTGAGAACCTTTCAGCCCCTCTATAGCTGCTCAGGGCAGCGGGGCTGCATGAGTCTTGGGGCGCTCCACTCCGTGCTGAAGGCACGGGGCCAAAGAAGAAGGCCGCAAGGCGAAGCTGTGCCGGGGCGAGCTTTTGGAAATGGTCGCGCCCACCTGTCCTCAATCCGAAGGCTTCTTCTGGGCCCGTCTCAGCTCCGACAGCGTCTCTCCCCCCGGCGTCCCCATTCCCTCCAGAGCGCGTGGCTCGGAGCGGAAGATCCATACTTTCCTCCCATCCGCGGGAGGCGCAGTACGCAGAATCTGGTGTCGAGGAGCTGGATCTCGACGCGGATGCAGCAGGCGTCAGAGGAGTGTGTCATGTTGCTGTGCAGGCCTCCCGGGGAATTGTCGTCGGCATGGCTGGATACTGACCCAGATTCAAGCAGTGGCGAAGCGTCCCGGCTTGCCTATAGCCCCACCAAACAATGTTCTAAGAACCTTTGGTGGTTCCCACGACATGTTTTTAGAGCAATTCTGGCTGGGACTGTCTTGTTTTAACACATCGGGCTTATGTTCTAAGAACATTGCTTTTGTTACTAGAACATCTCTGGTTTCTAAGAACACGTGGTATGACTATAGGAATGCCGGGACGGTCGGTCCCTGCTCAACACATTCTCAGGGCGTATCCATAGGAAGCAACATTCCATCCGTTTTGAGGGGCACGGGCTGTGGGTGAGAGCACGCGCAGGGGTTGGAGGGGTCGCCCGCCCGGGCGAGGACTGGGTCAAGATCATGCAGAAGTCTGCGGAGACGAAGCTGGTGGTGACGTGCTGCCAGAACGACATGCTGAAGCAGATGCTGCCAGTGCTGTCCGGGGGCCTGGACCATCGCCCCCCTTTCCCACAGCACGCTCGGTCCGTAGCTACCAAAACAGCCAGCAGTTGGGCCAAGAATCGGACGACGACAAGTATGCTTAAGCCAGGCATGTCCCTCTACAGGAGGAGTGTTCAAAATGTTGTTTCTAAACGTTTCCCCAATGGTCCTGTGAAATCCCCTTGCAGGAGGACATGCCCGACCTAAGATTATGCAACGCCATCGATCCTGGCCAGGACCATCCTTGTCTCAAGAGGGGCGTCTAGGACGTCCTGGCTAGGCCGGGAAACCGTATAATTACACAGATCCCAGGTGCGAGGCTGGCCTGGCCCAAAGTCGCGTCCGTGTGTGGTCAGTGCCGTCCGAGACCATCAGGGGAAGTGCAGGCAAGAGCGCAAGCTTAGACTTCAATGAATTTCAATTGGTGGCATGGTGTACTATAGTCACGGATTCAATCGCCATCGTTGTTTTGGATGCTTCGTTTGTCTCCACTGTCTTGTGGGATCTTGTGGACCCGCCTTGCCGAACCTTATCCTGTCAAGTGCTGTAACTCTTTCCCGAGTTAATTGCAAAGCAAACAGGAGTTCTGGAGTTCATGTTTTTGGATCCAGGGCATGTTTTGAACTATTAGGATTCTTGGCGGGTCGCAGGCTGTTGCAGTCTTGAGAGTTGGTAGGCAGTCCTATTGCGAACGCCAGCAGAGATGACGGCCTGTTTCCGCAAGGCTACCCATGCATGCGTACCCATTCGGCCCATCCTTGTCGTTTCGACGTGGGCGCCGCCTCAATTGTTGTGGCAGCGACGTCCACTCGTCCTGGTTCCTTACCTCGCAGCCTTCCTGCTGTGCTTGCTTCGTCACCTCCCCTCTCCCCTCGCTGCCCGAGGGACGCTGACCGCCTCGTGGCCTGCGCTGCGCGGCATGCAGGGCCGAAGCTCGCTGCTGCGCTCCGTGCGCGAGCCGAGCTCCGGGGCGCGCCAGCGCGCACCGCGCTCAAGAGCCGGTACGGTCGACCCGCACGGCTCAGGGCCCAAGATCGGGTACGGCCAGGACCCCAGGTAAGGGGACCCGGTTAGTGGTAGGGCCCCGGAGCCTTCGAATTGGCCATAATCACTAAACCAGGTTCGCCATAGCTGGTGTTTTTTCGGGTGGCAGCAGTTCCGGTTAGTGGAAATGGGACGGGGGGGCGCCCCCGGTACAGGTCACTAAACCAGGTTCCACTAAACCCAGTTCTGCCCTCGCCCGATAAGAGACGGGGGTCAGTGCAAACGGGGGTCAGCCAGGGCACCGGATCCTGCAGGATCCTGCGAAGACCCCCTCTGGCTGACCCTGGTCAGCGAGCCGCGAGGCGGCCGTGCATCTTGACCCAGGTCTGGGTTGACCCGGGTCGGAACATCCCCGAGGTCAGGAGGTCAACCTTCCCGAGGGTGCCCTCGCCTGCTTGCCTCCTCGGTCCATGCTTGGCCACTCTCGTTGGCCGCGCCCCGCTCGAGAAGCTCCGAAGCGGCCCTCCAAGGCCGTTGCACCCTCCTCGCGCGTCCTTGTGATTCGGGTCGACTGTGCAGTGGAGGTCCATTCCATGCTAAGAAACACCCTGCTTGCCTCCGGGGTGCCCTGGGTTTCTTGGGTTTCGCTGGTTTTGCTGTAGAAGGCGGGAGGTTCCCATACTAAAGACCCATGCGCGTCCTGGGGTCTCAGCGTTGAGTGTCTTGTGGACGGCTTCTTGTGGACTGGCCCCCACTGTACGGGTCGACTATATGCTGTGCATCTGTGAGCCGCGTGCTCGGCTCTGCACGACGCCCTCTGCACGCGGCGCCGTTGTGCGCGGCCGCGCGGCGCCATGTGCTCTCCCCCCCCTTCGGCACGAGACGGCGCCGCGCCCCCAGGAGACGTGCCAGAAGTCCCTGGAGAGCTACCTGGAGGGGAAGAGGAACAAGGCGGGGCCGCCCACGGTTCGATGCGGTGCGATTCCACTCGCAGGTCGGGGCCGCGAGTCCGATCCCGCTCGATTCGGTCCGCTTCACCAGCAGCGGCCAGTGCCAGCCGGAGCCTGGCGCGGCGATGCGATTTCGGTCCGGTTCGGGGCGATTCGCCGGCGATCCAGCCCGTTTCCGATCCGATGCGATCTCTCGGTTCGATCCAGCCCATGCCTGCAAGGCACCTCGGGCGGTGGCCCAGCGCGCCGCCCTGATTTTGTTTTGTGATCCTCTGGCGCGCAACTCCCTACTT